TGAACCGCTTCCCCCGGGACTTCGTAAAATGGCAGTAACATGAGCTCTATGTATGTTTTTTTATACAGAAAATCATTCTGTAGGTTAAATGTCCTTCCTATATTCATACTTTACTCAACGCTGGTAGTAATGTTTGAGAGGACTGTTTCAGTGGGACTCTTTTCTAGATATTTCCCACTGGAAAACCAGGTGACACAATCACAAATTAGATGTACATACTTCTTAAGGAGATATAATTAATTTTTAAATGCTCCTGCTGTGTCTATCACAACTTTCTGATATGCAACAATATTTGCATTCCCCTAATAGGAAAAAAATATTACAAAATAAAAAACCTGGTTTGTTTTGTTCGGCTTGTTTTTCTAGCCATTAGGATTTGTGCTTTCAGGTTCTTCTGCAATAATCATAAGGATTAGATTGTATTTTTTTTAACGAAAAGCTGTTTTCTCTAGAGCTGAGAAGATGATGACATGAGGGAAGTAAAATATGCCAAAAAATGCAGACTAAGGTCCCGTGTGTTGGCCTCACTCTGATAATTAAGGCTGGCAGGGAATACTTCAAGCTAACTTTTCCGATCAGAAAATGCTCATTTGTCAAAGCTGAATTTGTTTATGGGAGAGGGTTGAGCTTGAGAGATTTCTCAGCAGAAATGTTGTAAACAGCTCTCAAAATTGTCTAAATGACAAATTCCAAAATACTCTGAAAGAAAAATTCCTTTTTGGTTTTCAACCTTTGCAAGTTAAGTGTAAACTAATGATTGAAAACTGGAAAAGAAAAATTAAGAGGTCAAAACCAAAATGGAAGATCTTACTTTGAAATTGTTGTCTTGAACTGATCTAGTTTTAGAACAGTTGCTTTGTGACATATTAACAGATTTTTATTTTCCTGCTCAAGTTAAAACAGGACAAAATTTCCAATCCTGTCTTGGAACAGGCAGTTTCCCACCCAGCCCCGATGATAACATCAAGATGTCCAAATCTGATACTTTAATGTTTTATATGCACCAAATAGCTTTTTCCACTGTCTTAAAAGGTCTATTTTTAGTCTTTCAAGAATACAGAGCCCAAATACATTTTCTAAGTTTCTCCTCTCCCAGTCCATGGAAGAAACAGGTCACCTTATGGGATGAGTGCTGTGATGCAAGGCTGCTGCTCTGGCATTTCTTTCTGCTGAAGCTTTCAGGCACCTCATGGGCAGGACCTGCGATGAGAGTGTCCTTGTCATCACAACCAAATCTGCCCAGATTTGGGTGCAGGGAGCCACTTTCTATCTCTCCATCCCCACTTCGGGACCTGCTCTCCCTAGGGAAGCTCAGTGCCCAGGACACGGGTGGACAACACATGCTTTGGTCTCCAATGATGAGGTTTCTGAGCTCATGGGTACAAATTGGAGGCATGCGGAGAGCAGGAGAAGCAGGTATTTACGTTTTGAGAGGCCCATTGTTAAACATGAATATTTTAGTGATTGTACACTTCATGGCACAGAGCTTTGCTGCCAGCTTCAGCAATCCTGATGGATTGAACTGACATTTCCATTACATGTGTCTGCATTAAGCACTCTTTTTCTTTGCCCTCAAATGAATTTACTGTGAAATGTGTTGGCAGGGTTACTGTAGCTGAAAAAAACCTCTGTGATGTGAAATGTACTTTTCTGTCAAAAAGTTGTCGCTGCCTCTTGGCAAATTAGTATTTTCCCCTCTGTTTTCTCAGCTCCACACCTTCCTCCCATGTTTTTGGGTTGGGTTTTTTTTGTTGTTGTTGTTCTGGGTATTCCAACACCTCTTCCCAAAAAGAACAAACTCCTGTTTGCAAATGTTTTGAAAGTCAGTTTCCTGAGAAGTATCAAAAAAAGCCTGTCTTGAATCTTTCTAGACATGTTACATATTTTTCGACTGTTCAGCATCCCTGCTCTGTATTCTTTTTAACATTTGTGAAGTGCTTGGAAAATGGTTCCTGCACCAATGCTGACCTTCACTGTTTTACTTTGTTCTCCTGGCCACCTGGTCCACAATATGTACATCAAAGGTCTTCATTTCAAATGAGAAGGATTTGGAAGCAGGCTGGCTTAGCACTAAGAAAAAAAAAAAAAAACAAAAATCAAATGAGCCTTTTAATTTCTTTCCCTCCTCCCAACCTCTCTGTTTCAAAGACACTCCAAAAACAATCTGTACATTGAGTGAACAGAAGTGTTTTTATTACAGAAATCCTCCCCCTTCCACATGGATTGTCGCAAAGGGCTTTTTGGATATCTGCCCAATCGCAACATTTTGGCCTGTAAGAAAACAAGCAACAGATAGTGTGTTTGTTTGGCTCCTGGTTCTCCAGTCATCTGGAAGTGCCTTATTTGCTGCTTGCATCCATAATTTCTTTTCCGACCAGCTCTTCAAAACACTCATTTAGGCTCATGGGGAATAGAGAAAAAAATATTCAAATATGCATATTTGGTTATTTAAATTGATCCCTCTTTCAGATTGTTTCAACAACGTTTATTGAGTTTAGCAAAATGCAAATCAAGTCCCCTACACGTCCAGCTTGAAGCAGAGTAATCACCAACACAATCCCAGTTACATCCAAAACACTTAAGACCCCTGGGAGCTGGTATTAGTTAAACTTTACCTTCTTACCTTTCTTTTTCTTGCAATTGCTATTTGTGTGCCAAATGCACACCATATTGCTTGGGGACTGTAGTAGGTGTGTCCTTCTCTAGAGTTCAGTGAAGGCAAACAAGGTGAGATCATCAAATGCTCTGAAGTTAAGGAGGGGAGCGATGTTGATCCCGCGGAGATCTAGGAGTTAGCCAACCTCATCATTATTTCCTCCAGCAGATTAACTTTCAGCTGCTATGCCTAATAGCTGTGCAATCAAAAATCAGGGAAGATTTTGTAGTCTACTGTTAAGTGAATGACATCCCAAATGCCTGGGTTTTCCATCATGTCCCCTTTAGTGCCAGTGGTCCCACTTTTGCATAGGACAATAGTTTATCACTTGTAGCCAGCGGTTTTCTCGCCATCCATGGACTTCTTCTAAGGGATTTGTGAAAAGTGCCCAAGAAAATAGTCATATCTGTACACTTATTTTCACTATAATGTACCTTGCAGGTAGTGTGGAGGCTGATTTTAAATGTCACTATAAAAGATGACATATGATTTTACACTGGTTTAATACTCAAACTACATCTTCTTATTAAAAATGCCAAGAAACTCAGAACTGAGGTGGAAATGCCATGGAAAAAGCAGAGGATATGTCCAGAGCCTCTTCCATAAGCACCTACTATATGACTGCTGTTCATCCTGGATGTCCTGGTATTCTGGCTCACGTAGCTCTAAATTTAGCCTTCAGCCTGCAGGCCATTTGGGGGTCCTCAGGAAGAGAAATATTGTGGCTGACATGTTCAGAACTGACTGTAGGACTGGGCACCACTTCCCATTCGGCTGGAGCATCTCAGCCCCCATTAATGTGTTGTTCCTGTGCTTCTCCCACATACCTTAGAGCAGTGCCTGGCTCCTGCTGATGAAGGGCCGACATGGAGTTGGCTTTGATTTGGGCCATTTGGTCACTGCCAACGCTTCTGTTTCAGAGCTGGGTAAGTGCAGAATTGGACTCTGGTTGGAGGTGGAAAGCCCAGCTTTGGCACACGGTTCTTTCAAGGATCATTAAGATTCATGTTCTTCACACAAAGTAGACAATCATCATTTTGGCCAGACTGCTACAGTGCCAGGCACCATAGGGTCCTCCTCTGTGCCTTCTCCTGGGCAATCCTGCTTGAGAGATTAGATAATCTGATTTATGCTTCTTTTCCCTTCCAGATGTCAACAGTTGGCTGCTCACCTTCGGGTTCCAACTACACAACGTCATCCCCGGCTACCCCAAGCCAGACATGGATGCAATGGAGCCGTCCTATGAGCTAATCCACACACTGATGAAAACCCAAGAATGGGACAATAGCAAGGTGATCCATGCAACTCCATACTGTATCTCACACCCTTATCAGCAAACTATCCAGTTGCTATCTTTATTAAAAAACCCTTTATCTATATCTGTTCTCCCAGATACACTGGGAGATTAAGAGCGAGCCAGTCCCAATTACAATAATGAAATCTAACTGAATAATCGTATCTTAAGTTTCTTACTGCCATGGTGCTTTTTCCTGTGATATTTTCTGGTGGTTGTTCAATTAAACGGTGTGTTACTGTTTCTTTCTCCCACAAGAAGCCGTGTTACCACATATCGCAGGCTAAGTTCAAGGCATTTGCACCAAGGATTCTTGGAAGTGCAAAAAAGAAAATCTTGATACAGAATCAGTTTCTACAGATATTTTCCTAGAAACTTATTCAATCTGGTTTAAGATGTCTTAAACAACAAGTCCCACTATTTCCCTAGGAAACAGTTCTGCATTGCAGTGGGTCTCAGCAGAAAGAAGTTTTAGATGATAATTAACTATCATTTTACCTGGCTGGGTTTAATCCCAAGTCGCCGTGTCCTGCTTTTAAAAACAGGCCTACATCACAAGCCATTTTGGCAGATGCTGGCACAAAATTCAAGGATGAAATTGGAAAAAAAAAAAAAGCAGCAAGCTTTTACAGCCCAATCATTTCCCCCTCTCTTCCTATTGGGAATTATTCAGCTGAAAGGTGGAGGCAGCGCTGCTAAAGGTTAGCACACTCGGTCAGGATCCAAGAGCCCTACTCCCAGCCCTACTGCTTATCAGTTGTATGAGCTTGAAAAAGTCATTAGCCTCTCAGGATACTCTTTCATCTCCTAGTCTGATTTTATTCTGGGGTTGCTTTCATCTGTTTAGTCTGAATCCTCTTTAGTCTGAATTCCTGCTTGCTATTGCTGCGTATTCAAACATCGCGAGAGCAGTGAGGTACCAATGTGCTTGGGGAGATCAGGATATGCTCTTAACATTTCTACTAATAAAATGATGCTAGTGAAGTGAAGTGAAATTGATTCCAGCTGCCCTCCTAGCCTCTTTATCTATGAGTTCACTGAAATATCACTGTCCTGCAGCAGATTCTTGAGGTCCTGTACACATATTAAACCAGGGGGTAAAATAACAGTGTCACATTTCCTGAACCAAAAAGGTATCACTCAGAGGTATGAACAAGATCTGTGCATTAATAAAATAGTCATGTGTCATCCCATCCTTGGTACTCAGCCTCATTGCTATGGCAAAGACAAGCTAAAATGTACCAGCTTCAACTTCAGTGAGAGATTTATATTAAGACATATCACTTTATAATAGAGGGAGACCAAAAGAACTATACCTTTTGCTACCATGTCTGAGTTGATGCTTGAAAACCATTATGCTGCAGTAACTTGGTTGTGTTTTGGAGCTCGGAGACTTCTCTTTTGTTTCTCTCTTGCTTGGATTAAACAATAACATGCTAATAGAGAGGATTTCTGTAATAAGAAATAGCCTCAGGATTTTTCCTCCTCTCTGATGTGACACAGTCTCCCCAGGCAAAGTTGTACAGGAGATGCTGAACAGGGGAGGCTCATTCAGAAACTGCACAAAAGATTGTCTCTGAATTGTTATGTGCAGTACATAATAACTCTCACAGAACCACAATAGAAATTATTATTGGTGTTATTATTATTATATCATTATTTTAACATTAACATTCATTATTATTATTAGACTTATTGAATAGCCAAGTAACTTGAGTGATGGCTTGAGATGAAGACTGACGCTTGCTCATACAGGCAGCTGAGATGGAAATAAAACCAAGGAGCCCTCCCTTCCATCCACCCATTTTAGGTGAATCTTCCTCAATGAGCAATGAGAAGGAAAGAAAACCTCCACCTCCCTTCTCAGGTTTTTAAAGCAAGAAGCTGCAATGAGGACTGTGCAGGGACCTACTTGGTAAACGAGGGCTTTATGCAGCCAGGGTGCTTCCAGATGAGTCATTTTACACTGAAGTGTTGAAAATGGAATTTAACCATTGCAGACTGTTTCGTATTCTTCCCCTGTGTTATGACAGCAACAAAACATGAGCATTTTTATCTTAGTCTGCAGTTGCGGAATCATGCTGTGATAGCGAGTGGCCCTCCAATGCTATGGAGCAGGATTCTCTTCCTTTCTGTCACACCCAGCATATTGCAGGCGTATATTTGCATAACCCAAATTCATTCATGTATGATACCTGAACATATGATCCCTTTTCTCCTAAGCTTATCTGTGCATCCAACACTGATGCTTCACATGTAGTTGTATTCACTCTCAACCCTTCCAGCCACACATACATGTCCTCCTTCCTACTGGTTGTCTCTGTATTTATTGATGAAGAACGTGGAAGAAAACATAAACTTTTGAAAATTTCACATAGCAAATGACAGAATTAAACAAAGGTAAATGGAAGCACAGGAAATATGTTCAGATAATAAGACTGATCAAACTGTGAAGTGGTCTTCAGGAGCATGTGGAGTAAACTCCAGATCTTTTGTCATTTCAAAGTAGCCTGGAGAAGGCATGGACAATGCTCATCCTTCTTGCAATCCAGGGATATTCACTGAACGATGTACCACAGCTTTCTCATCTCCATGTCTTCCCATCCCTGGTTTCTCTGGGTCACATTCCTTTTTGTGATAGACTGAAGTAAATTTGAGCTACTCCACTGGCTTCGCTGAGCAAAGCTGTGGCCCAGCAGATTGAGTCAGTTCTTTTATCACAGAGGAATGAATAACAGGAGCACGACAGCAAAGCAACTGACTCCACATAAATGGCTGCTTCGTGTCTCTTCAGAGTGCATAACCAGAGGGTCCTAGGATCTCCTTCCAAAACATTGTTGGTACTTGCCTTGCAGGGCTGGAAGATGGGAGAGATAATTCTGACTTTGAGCATCCACCAGCTCAGAAACAGCCAGCATGTCATAAACCTTGCACTAACCCCCCGCAGCTCTGGAGTGACATTTAAAATCCAATACTCTGCTGTGCGGCACTCTCCCCCCCTCCTCCCTGTGACCATGAGGCTGTCACTAGATTGTTTGTTGAACAAGTTCAGTGTTATTGGCCACCAGGGGACTCTGGGTGACCTCTGGCATATTGTGGAGCTGCTGCACCTGAATCCAATTTCTTTTTTTTTTTTTTTTACCCCCTCCTTGCTTTTTTGTCTTGTTGAACTGTCGGGTAATTGCTAGAGCCAGAACAACTCTATTGGCAGGGAGAGGTGTTTTGGAGTCAGCGCTTACATCGTTAACTACCCTATATTGTTAACTACCCTTCTTTCCATCCCATGAGCGCTGTGCCTCCAGGAAGGGTCCTATTTTCTGCAGTGCCCGTTACAGGCTGTGCTGGAGGAGCAGCTTTTGGCCTCCCTTGTGGAGCAGCATTTTGGAGGCAAGGGCTGCTCTGGGATGCTCAGCCAGGGAGTGAGCTGTAGGGCTGTGCTTTCTGGCAGAGCTTCTCCCAAGGACAATCTGTTTGAGGGACTGGCTCTGGCAGTGTTCATCATTCAGGGAGGGCATCCTAACATTGCAGGTGCTTTGTCCTGGGCTTGGGCCATCAAGCTGTCTGCACGTCTGTCCATCAGCCCCTAGTTATGTTTTGCAAAAGTAGTGGCCAGTTTTCACTGGATCTAATGCGGGGAAGGGACTTGAAGTCTGAAAGACATTAAGCTCTTGAAGCTTTATGAAAATAGATGAGCAAAAGAAGGAAGCAAATCCTCTTACTTCCCGCCGGATGGAAATCTGCTTGATGAGCTCAACCTCGTTATGCCACTGCAGCTGTGTATACTGGTGGGGTGAAGGAGAGACCCGTCCTCTAAGCCCGAGAGTTAGCACTTGTATTTCACTCATTGCTAACCAATCAGCATCTATAGCAGCTGGCCAAACCCCCACCTCCGTTGTCCCACGGGCATTCGTGGGTGGCAGGTTGCTAAGCAGGCACATTGCCTCTCAGCCAAGCAGCGTGCAGTGCAGCCGTGCTGCTGGGTAGGTGCCCATCATAGGCTGTTGTGGTTGATGGGCTTCTCCTGCACCTCCACCAGCTGGGAGTTGGTGGGAGATGTCCAAATGGGGACTTGCCTTCAGGTGATGGCCAGGTGGAATGGAGAAGGGAGGGAAGAGGCTGATTTCTGAATAATGGTTTCGTTAACAGAGAGCTAGGGGGTAAATAGGAAGGAGTTAACAATGAAGAGTATTTCAGAGAAGTCATAACTTCCAAGCCTTTTGGAAGAAGTGGCTTTCTGCATTGTAAGCCATATGGTGGTAAGAGAAACACCTATCTGTGTGTAGTGGCACAAGGATACAGAGAAACTTGGAAACATGTTCACGTATTTCACATCTTGGATCCTTGATGGGAAATTAGAGCTTTCTGTCTCACACTGGAAGGCGGTATTTAAAAACAGCAGATGATGGTATCAGGCTATGGTATTTTGAATCCTCAAGAGGTGCCGGCGAAATGCAAGAGGCTATTCAGAGATCTCTGTAATGTGCCGTTGTCTTGAGCTCTGTGCAGCAGCGAACAAATGATGAAGGTCGTTCTCTTCTCTCCAATGGGTTGTTACTAGATAAAGTGAAATGTCACCTAAGGACATCTGATTAAAAAAGACTGTGAGGAAAAACAAACCCAGCATATTTGTCACTCACATCTAGCAACAAATATTGAAATAAAATAACTATGAATTCCCTTCTTTCTTCCGTAAAACTGGTTTTATAGATAACTTGGTTTACAGTTGCTAAAAGCAGCAGCATTTTTTAGAGAATACCACATGCCACTGCAGCCTTGGATGGAAATTTTCTGTTTCTCTTCCTTGCCAGTTCATTAAAATGAGTTCTAAGATGAAACAGAAATGGTAATTTCAAAGTCAGGGATACACTGCCTCTTTGAACTCCACATAATCTGTTTGCCTCCACTCCCTTTATATTCACAGCAGAGCACACACGCTAGCTGTACTCTGGTTTGCCTGAATTTGTTGGTTGGGGGTTTTTTTCTGTTTGCTTTTCCTTT